TAGGGTTTAGGATTTAAGGTCTTAGGGCTTAGGGATTTAGGGTTTAAGGCTCAGGGCTAGGGATTTAAGGCTTAGGGCTTAGGATTTAGGGTTTAGGATTTAGGGATTAGGGTCTAAACACTCTGCATCACCCGAAGTACCCAAAACCTTGGGCATTATGGTAGTGTAGTATACTACTGTCATGTAGATGTTTAATACCAAGAGTACGTGGATTGCTCTGCTGCAGTCTTTAAGGAGGTCATGAGGTAAGGGCTCGAAGTTTAGAGTTTAGATTTTGGGGTGGAGTGAGAAAAGCTGACACCAACCTAAGTGCCAAGAAGATGGACAATTCAATGGAGACTAAGCCTATATAGAGGGCTATAGAGGATTTTGGTATCGTCAACCCTCAAAGTTAGGAATCTATTTCATTTGTCTGATATCTACAATTATATAATCATCTGATAGCTATAGAGGTCCTAAATCTAGGCGTTGAGGTTACTAAACTACTCCAATTGAGAAAGTTCTCAAGTCACAAGGACCATTAGGGTTTAGGGTCAATTAACACCAAGAAAACATTGGCAGTGAATATTCATATGCAGGTTTGAGAGAGGGTACCGTGAGGGATCTAGAGACACTAGAAGAGAATCTGGCAAAATTCCTGCTTGACCCTCCAAAGTGCAGCGGCCACATGGATGTTCTAAAGCAAAATAGGGACCCCATACATATAGCTTAAACATAGACATAGTCTAAACAGGACACCGCAGATCCACAAAGTTTATTTTCTTCGCCTGGGCTGCACCGGTTGCCGGAGCTCCCCGACACTGTCCTTCTCCTGCAATGCCCGAAAGGTCCATGTACCTAGATAAGATATTGAGACAGACCTCGCGTCGGCGGCATTGCTATTCGAGCAGTGGCGTGGCGGGAAGTAGCTAAGTAAGGGTTTGTAGCGCTCAAGGTTAAAGGTTCAGCTACTGCTGCTACTACTGCTGCTGCTGCTGCGACAATGTCGACGATGATCACAACCATGACTACGACGACTACAACTGTTAACGTTGATGGCAACGGCGACGATGGCAGGAAAGACCATAACGACTCTGAGCATGCCCTCGACTACCGTTACGACGATTGCAGCTGCAGCAGCAGCAGCCGCAGCAGAAGCAGCAGCAGCGAAGCTGCAGCAGAAGCTGCAGAAGCAACAGAAGCAGGAGAAGCAGAAGCAGCAGAAGAAGCAGCAAGCTGCAGCAGCAGCAGTGGCAGTACTAGCGTTGATGGTACTACTACGACTCACAGTTTCAATTACTCGTGGCGGATGGCATCTGCTCCTCCTCCTCTGCATCTGCCATCGCAGTTTTCTCAATGGCCACAAGACATGGAAGGGCAACAAGCGGTAATCAACATGACGAAGCAAGACTGGCGAGTTTCCTGATAGGCAGGTACTGAAAAAGCTGCGTCTGCAAGATGGGTTCATTCTAAAACTCGCCTGAGAAATAGTTGGACATGTGGTCGCTGCGTGAGAGCCAGTCTATACAGTCAACTCAAACACACCCTTTTTTGTATGTAACAACTCTCTGCAGTTCTTGAAGGTGGAAAGATCATGCTTGTGAGGCGCTGCCGGCTGTTCCTGGAGTTGCTTTTGCAATAATAATCGCAATAATAACCCTAATAAGAATGATAATAATAATAATACTAATAGTGTTACGAATAGTAATAACAATAGTACAAGTAATGCTTTCTTTGCTGATGGATGTTGCCTACCAGGCTGCGGGCCACAGAAATAAGATCTCTGACTCTGCGATCAAGCATCCAGCCTAAGGGCATACGGCATACGTGCAGGCTGCGGGCCTAGGGCGAGTAGGTACAGTTAGGCTCTATGCTGCGCTCAAAAAGCCAACCACAATGCATGGGCCCAACAGGGCTACTTGCGAGTCCCTCCTGAAGGCACTGCGACTTCTAATTGGAACCCATTATCCCTATATAACCCCCCCAATATATACACTATCATGATATGATAGTTTCCATTTTCGTTTCCAATATCCCTATATAACCCCGCATTATATTCACTATTCTAATATCCAAAGTTGCAGGCGGCGCGTTTCATCCCAGAAGGCGGAGTGTCTCACATCCTGCCACCACCTTGGCTCCTGAACTAACCCAAAGGGTCCCAAGTACCTATATGAGCCATAGTCTAAACTCCTAGTATCCCCCTTAATAATCCCCTAGTACTCCCCCATATAATCCCCTATATAACCCGCCTTTATAAGGAGTTTAGATTATCGCTCATAAAGGGGGGTACGAACCCAAACCATATTTTTAATTAGGGACTTAGGATCCTTTGGGCCAGAGACCATCATCCCCCCGTAGCGGCTGACAGGTCATCATAAGGCGTGAGAACCTCCTCCTGACTGCTGCCTGGCAGATCCTCGAGTTCGCAGGCTCCCGGTGTGCTTGCGACAGCCTCATAGGTGCACAGAGACGTCTCAGAAACGTCCAGCAACCTTGCATGAAAGCCGCAGAGTCTTAGCAGGTTCAACGAGGAAGTGGTGGTCCAGGATACTCCAGTTTTGCGGAGATTCGACTAATCCTATAGGTGGGCTGAAGGGCAAAGCCAGAGCGCATGACCACTCCATCCTATCGAAGACTTTGACTTTGGGCACATTCAATCCCTTGGACTCCATATGTATACGGGCCTACATAGTCAGAACTGAGTTTTGTGCCAAATAACAACGTACTTAGAGAACAGTGATAAGGGCACAGCCACAGCCTCAGTAGTTCTCCGAGCAGCGACAGCGTGACACGTCGACGTGCAGGCAGTTTGCACTCCCAACGAATGGTAGGTTCCCTAAATAGGGGGACCCCAACATAGACCCCAATATACTACAGTCCTTATTATGGGGACCCCCGAAATGGTACCCCAACTTTTGGGAAACTAACGAATACCCTTACTGCTGTCCCGTCCAGGATGGCTCTAAGTTGGCATAGCTGCAGTCAGGGTTTAGGGTTTAGGGTTGGGGAACTGGAACTTCAGGCAGCCTCCTACGGTGGATGCGGAAAATCCTGCATGACCATCAGTACCTTCAACCTTGGGAATTATGGTACTGCAGTATACAAAAACCTGGGGGTCCAAATGGTCCAAATTAGGTAGCATTTAAAGACTTCAGGACCCAACGTAGGCAATACTTGTAAACTTGGATCCCCATGGAAGGTCATCCAGGATTTAAATCCAGGATTTTAGAATCAACATGTGAGCTATAGTCTAAACTCCTAGTATCCCCCTGAATAACCCCTATAGTAGTCCCCTATATAACCCCCTTTAGGGAGTTTGGACTATGGCTCATGTGTCAACCATGCTCATTCCGGCAGTTTGTTTGAGCTCAGTGACTCCACGAGGCCCGAACAGGTTAGCCAAACCTTCAGCGACCGTGGCGGCCCGGCAGGGCACCTTTGTCCTGCAGCCGAAAGGCTCATACAGGGGCTCAGATGACGAAATCTTCGTAGAATCCCTATGTAACCCTAAACCCTATGTGGTCCCTGAGTAAGGAATCGACAAGATCCCTACAAAACCCTACAGCTTGAATGATTAGACCAGTCTTTGGGCTTGCTACAAGCCATAAAAAATCTACCAACGAGGGCAATTAGTAGCCCTAGCCATTGCAGCTGTTGACCCATAGAAGTAAGGCTTTGGCGCGGTATGGCTTGGGGTTTAGGTCTTATTGTTATTCTTATTACTTACGATTAGTCCTATTATTACTATTGTCTTATTGTTATTCTTATTACTTACGACTAGTCCTATTACTATTATTGCTATTATGATGGTTTTTATTATGATGATTATTATTATTATTACTGTTACTATGGGTCTTGGGTTGAATTGCTCAGCGCTCCAGGATGCAGGATTCAATCATAAAGTCTGAAGGCTACCTGCAAAGAGACAACAGGAAATGGCCATTGTGGAAAGAGGTTGTTCAAATTACCATCTTTTGTGGGAGGGTTCCTACACAAGACAGCCTCTAATATTTTGGGTACCCATAAGGGACCGAGCACTAGAAGATGGTTGTAGGATTGTTCCACCCAGCATCGAATGGTTCAGGGTTCAGAAAGGCGCCTGATAATGCAAACTGTACTTCACTCACGGTGATGCCTGGCTTTCTCAGCTTTACAGACCCTAAACTCTAAACACCTCTTTTTCAACCTTGAGCCCTAACAGGGGCTTCCAGGAGGGATAACACCAGGCCATGACCCTGAACCCAGCCGTTTGACCTCCAAACCTGAAACTGTCAAAGGCTACGGTGAATGGACGAAATCTTGCACTTGCAAATTCTGTCGAATAGGCTATATCAGGTTGTGCACAAGCTCCATCCACAGGCCCTAAACCCTACACCCTAAACCCTAAACCAAGCCCTGTGGCCTCCAGTGAATAGCATGGCTTTCTGGACTTTTCTTCCCATCTCCCTGGTCTCCCAGCCATCGAAGCTTCCCAGGTGTACGGATCCCTGTCGGGCATCCCGGAAGAAGCAAACCTGAAGCTCATTGGGTTGCTGTAGCTATCAAGGAAGCCCCCTAAACCCTAAATCTATAAACCCTAAATCCATCAACTTGTAGCCATCAAGGAAGCCTTAACGGGCCCCCTTTCAGGGGGACCCAGAAGCGAGGCCTCGGTAAGACATACCTAAGTCCCCATATGGTCTCCTAGCATGAGGGCATTTTACTATGTGGTCGATTTCTGGTTTCCAGTTGCCATTGTGAAGATGCCATGTGGTTTACAAAGTATCTGCAGTACACCAACTTGATGCAGGCTCCTGAACAGCAGCCCAGTTTAGGGAAACCCTACAAAAACCAAGGAAGGGCTCAGAGTTAAGACCCAGGAAGCAGGTAGGGGCCCCAGCGGACCAAGACAGGGACCTTATATAAACCCTAAACCCTAAATACTCATTTCCATTGTCTTTTCCATTATCCCTCTATAACCCCAGTATATAGTTGTAATATGGTAGTTTCCATTTTCTTTTCCATTATCCGTATATACTCCCAATATATGCCGGATTATAACCATGGACCCTGAACCCTAATTTGTAGTTTCCATTTTCTTTTCCATCATCCCTACATAAGCCCAGTATAACCCAAAGGGGCCTTAGCTGATTCCTTGCTCAAGACCCCGCCTTGAACTGCTTGTCGAAAAATCGCTCCTGAAGTCGTTTAAGGGTTTAGGATAATGATGGGGTTGCTTTCGGGACAATGGAAAATGGAAACTACTATATTACCATGGGTATATAATGGGTTATATTGGGATACCGGAAAAGAAGGTGGACACCACTATTTAGAATCTAGGGCGACTGTCTGGTGTGATGCTGTCAGTTCTTCTTGCCAGTATCGCAGAACTGAATACTACATCACTGCTACTTCTGATCTCTGTCTTCCTTTGTCTTCTGCTGCTCTTGCTGCGTTCTTTCGTCTGTCATCTGGCAGCTACCCTAAACCCTCCACCCCAAAATATGACAAGCTCATTCTTGGAAACCCCCCAGAAAGGTACCCCTGACCCTAAGCCCTATAAATCCCTTTCATTATAACATAACCCTATAAATCCCTATAACCACCCTGAGAAGGTACCCCTGATTTTGAGAAAAAACTTCCATTTCACCTAATTTTGGGAAAATCCATTCCGGCTCCTGAACGCATTGCTCGATCAGAGAAAACCACCGCAAGCCACTGTTTGCCGCAGCCAGCTTTCCCTCCAGCGCGAAAAGCTTGCCTTTCCTGGATAGGGTTACGATTCAGGGTTTAGGATTTAGGGTTTAGGATTTAGGGTTTAGGATTTAGGGTTTAGGTTATATTGGGTTATTCTTGGGCACAAAACTATTGGGACTATTGGGGATGCCGTTCAAATATATAGGTTTGAAGGTTCAGGGCCTTGGGTGATCGAGAATCAGCTGGAAAAGACAATGGAAAATGAAATGCACACAGCGGTTACCTAGGGACTTTGTAGGGATTTAACAAACTCAGCATTGCGCTACCATTATAGGGAAACCTATCCTTTATTAGATACCACTACTATACATATTTACTCATATGTGTGGCAACTCACGTGCAATGTGTTACAGGCAACCCAGTTTGCCGGGATTGCTGCGAAGCATTTACGTGTCAAAATCGGGGTGCGCTAGGGGACCCTAGGGATTTTGGGGCTCCCCATTAAGGTTTCTATGAATAGGGATTTTTTGGAGAAACTCTCAAATGAGTAAAGCTCACCCTATGAAATAGAGATTTGGACTTTGTACAGCAATCAAATCCACAGCAAGCCAGTTTCAGTTTCCGGGTTTGCTTCGATGCCTCTCCCGCAAGTGCTTGGCGATTCTCTTGCTTCAGCTTGGTAGTGGGCTCTACCCTACAGCATGCCTCGAAAGTGTAGGTCTCATCCCAGCACTCCAGCTTCCCTTTGGGTCCAAGGCTTCTGTCACAGCATACAGCTTCCGCGTTGGTGAAGGCCCCAACCCAACCTGGGTTGCTGTTGAGGAACCTGAATTAAGTTACCATAGCGGATACATATAGTAGTTAATAAGGTTTCCCCAAAACAATAAACATCAAGTTCCTGAACAACAACCCAGCAACATTGGATGGGACCTGGTACCCTTGCTTCTGCTTGGCTATCATCCAGGGCCCAACCTGGGTAGCTGCGTAGAAACTTATATTCAGTTATCATATCTAAGGATATAAGGAAAGCATGTGATCTTCCTAAATAACCTCCTTATGGTGACTTACTAATAAAACCATCTTAAGGTTTAGGGTTTTCAGATTATAGTCCCCCTTAAGTAGATAGAATATGGGGTATATGGGGATCTTATTATAATATGCCCAAAGCCATATTCTATCTACTTAAGGGGGACTATAGGTGTTGGTAACCTAAGTTATGTTGTTTTTTAACATGAACCCAGCCACGGGCATACTCTGAGACCCCTCCAGGCCGTGCTGCTGGCTCTGCCATAGCCTTGGCAACCGTACTGGTGCTTACAGATTATTAGACATAAGGGCATTTGTGAGCCATAGTCTAAACTCCTTAAAAAGGGTTCTAGAGGGGACTATCATAGGGGACTATCATAAGGGTTATTAGGGGGGAGACCAGGAGTTTAGACTATAGCTCATATGGGAATATTTAAGGCCTATGATATAAAGACTATTGTAACCTCCTGCAGGCACCAGCAAGCAACCGTTTCGGCTTTGGGAGCATCGTCCGCCGGCTGCGCAAGGCTGGCCAGTTCCTCCTTCAAACCTTTCGAGGCATTCCGAGTTGCTATACAGGAGTTGAAGTTATGTTACCCTTGCAAGGGAAACATATAGTTACGATATAGCCGTATTATGGTAGGATAGCTTAAATTCCTATGGTAAGATAGCTTAAATTCCTTGACAGAATACCAATTTTATGCCTGTTGTGTTCAAAATGGCTTGTTACATGGAATAACCCAGTTCAGGCATTTGGGACTCTCATCATTGATTAACCCTGAGTTACAGGATCTTCGTGGCTCAGAAGTGTCCGGGACGGGTACGCTTGCGATCTACAAGGCGTGGAAAGGACCGGCGACACCGCATCCTACTGCGCAGGCACCCTGAGCCAACGCCCTGAAGACCAGGATTGGACTGTGTCACCCAAGCCCCAAACCCCAAAGCCCCAGATTTGGTGACGCCTCTTCGATCAGCTTCCCATCTTGCAACCTGGCAAGGCGCAATTTGAGAGCCTAGGGTTTAGAGTGTAGCTAGGGTTTAGGGTGTATCGGGCATGGGGCTTGAGGCTGGCAGACTATGACATGGTCAAAGCTCTAGCATTTGTCCTTAGTAACAAGCAAGCAAACGTTAAAGTTCAACTCAGCGTTTTGCAGTCGCTATGGTGGCCCTCTTTCAGTTCTAACTCTCCGCCTCTTGGCTGCACTAACAGTCGCTAACATGCCTGATGAAGCATTTCCTCCGTGAAATGCTCCGTCCGGTAAAAACTGGCGGTACATGAAGACGGGCTTTAATCCCCTCCCCGTAATATTAGATCTCCACCCCAAATTAAAAATAATACTCCCCATTGTAATATATACTTATATATTGGGAGTACTTAATATTAGCGGGGTGGGGCGGTTTAATATCAGGAGGAAGGCTTTACCAGGATAGTGTAAGGAACTCCTTGCTTCCTAGATTTAGTGGGTTCTCCTACTACACCCCACCCCCCTATACTACACGCCTAGGTTCCCCTGAAGTAACCTGAATGAGGCCAAATTAGCCCGAACCAGCTTTAATTCACGGGGGAATCTAGGGGGTTCCCATAGAGCGGGGTTACTAGGGGAAGCCATGATATATGGAGCACTCTTCTCTAGATTTCAGACCCGAAGAATTACATCGCTACCCGAGATGCGAGACACAAAGTCCTACCCCTTTAGGCTTTCCAAAGGGTAAAAGTACCTATGTAACATATGAGCCATTGTCTAAACGCTTAGTATCCCCCGTAATACTCCCTATAGACTGTTGACTGTAACTCAAAGTAGAAACTTGGCGCCCAGAGCACCCACGCATAAAGACCTTTGCTTGGACCCTTCGGGAAATGCATTTCCTTTATACACGCCCAGCTTCCATTTGATGTTCATGGTATTCTTCATTATTCCAAAATTTGGGCCCTAACCCTGAACCACAAACCCGACATAACATAGTAGCTTCCCTTCGAGTTTATTGCGTCCTAAATTTTGTCCTACGCCCTAAACCCGTCCTGAACACTCAGACCCATTGTGTTCCTCCTCCGGGGCCATGTCCTCCTCCTGAAGCCGGCGCTCCCAGCCGATCTGACGATCCTCGCGGCGCGCCTTCCTCAGACTGACGGGTATATTATGGTATAGTATAAAATATTATGGTAGATTGCAAAAATAATATTCTGGCATATTTCAGTATATTGTGGTATAGTAACATAGCATTAATATGGAGCCGAGTTATTGGTTTGAGGGTTTAGCGTTGCCCTCGGGCTTAGGGGTCTAAATCAAAATTGGAATCGTGCAAAGTCAATGATTTGAACACATAGATTGAGCCCAGGAACGGACAAGAAGTGGAAACGATCATATGATTTGAGATTCTTTTTGGGACTACATAGGGCTCTACTTTCCTTCACAAGCAGTCAGCCAATAAGGTAGGGAGAAAGGAAGTGATGGGAGCCTGCTCGCATCTCGCTGGGGCTTAGTGCGGAATATGTCAGATCTTGCACGGACCATTCAAGGGATTCTACAGGCCCCGACAATGAGGGGGTTTGGAAAGATCTTCAGCAGCACCACCAACCCCTGCTCCTCCTTCCACTCCTCCTTGTCCTTGTCCACACTGCTGTCATCGACTGCGAACAGCTGCTGACCCTCCTATTCTGGCTGCTGACACGTCCACTAGTGACTAATTACTAGTGCTACGATGCGCTACTGCATGCGACTACCGCCACTCGTCCTCCTCCTCCTCCTCCTCCTGCTCCTCTTTTCTGCCTCTCCTCCTTCTCCCCCACCTCATGGGCCCTTGTTGTTCCGGACGGAAACCCAATAGGTATGGCCGACATCCTGCCATCATAGAATGGATAGACTTGCAAGCGCTCACAAGAACTTGAGGCAGACTGATAGGTTCCTTTCTCGGAAGCGCATCTTGAAGTTAGCCAGTCCATCGTGATGGCTTCTACTTCAATATGGTGTTTCGACACCAGGATCCGTCTGTACCCTGCATAGCTTTAAAGCGCAAGCGAATTAGAAAACATAGCAAGCAAAGCGACCAGCACATTCAGTGAGTGACATGCACAATGTGTAACAAAAAACCGCACTCACTCAGGAACGGGCTCTGGTAAAGGCACGCTTCGTGGCCTGCTAACTGGGCCTGAGTCTGATTTGTTGCAAAAGGTTTTGGGTTCTGGGTTCCGGGCGAAAGTCCAGTAAAGTGGGCAGGTTGCGGGCATAAAAGGCACGAAGTGCCTTCTTTAAGCCCGCAAGAGAACCTACCTCGCCCGCTTGCGGCCTCCTCCGGATCGGCAGCGTGGCGTCCTGCACCGCCACTACCACCGCCACCACCACATTACACATTCTTCGGAGGCCTCCCGGCAGAACCCTTGGACGGTGTCCAGGGGTGCCTGCTCTTACAAACAGTCATCCCATCGATTGAGTGCATGCTTGGGCCATCGCCAAAAAGGCGTCCAGACTCTCGTAGGGGGTGAGAAACCTAAACTCACAAACGTTCGAAAATCCATACGAGCTTGGTCAGAAGTTGAGATGCTGGCGCTACTACATCCTCCATCACGCAGGAACCGGAGGATGAAAACTTGAGCCCGCAGTGAAAGCTGCAAGCCCAATGTGCCGTAGTTACACCATTCCGGCGCTGTCTTTTCCAAGGCGGATTTTGCAAAAGCCCTCCAATCCAAAATGTTTGGGCTCAATCAAGTTGATGTAAAAGGGTGACTGGGTGGCAATAATGTAGATTTCAAAACAGCTCATTAATCCCATGCTTCGCACTCAATGTTTTGCTTTCAGCGGTTCCCAAAGCTCTTATTGATCCATGATGTTGGCCAACTTAATAAGCGCGGCATACGTTTATATTCCCACTGCCCACTTAACTAAAAAGGCGTGAGCCAAATTACAACTGACTAAACATCAATAGCTCAAAGCTACGTACGTTGCAAGGGAGTGAGTTAGGATGAATATGTAGAGCTTGGTCGACAAGCAACGTGTTGCGTGAGACGAACACAGAAGCTCGAACCGTTAATCATCACAACTCACCAGGTAGATGAGGAATGCAGGAAGGTAAGGGACCCACTGTTTTGGTTAATCCGCCAAAATCCTGAGCTTGGCCAACACTTTTGCCTTTGGATAAAGCAGGTCTTAGGGTCCCCCGAATTCTTAGGCTCTATATAGGGATAATGGAAGAAAATGGCAACTACTATTTAGGGTTTAGGGTAATCTGGGTAGTGAAGGGTGTGGAAAGTCTCCAGCCCACCCCAAAAAATCACAATGCAGGCACGCAGCCGCATTCCAAGTTAGTCAGAACGCTACGACAGCACCTGACAACTTATTATGAGCAACAGCAATGCGGTTCTGTCAACTGCTGAGATCCATAACAGCTGTTTGCAACCCACGGCCTCGAAAGCCTAAAAAAAACCCTACAGTAGTACCCCATCTGCTCAGGGGAGTTTCTCGAAACGTCCCCTGAAGAACCTCCAATATCAATTAACGTCCATGGTTCTCTTCAAGTCCTCCTGTGTTCCTAGGGTCCGGATGGTACCTCATTTTATTGAGCGAAATGCTCTAAAGCCACAAACCCTAAACATCCCTAAACCCAAAACCCTAAGCCACAAGCCCTAAACGCTAAGCCACAAACCCCAACCTAAACCTCATCATTCCTATGGTAAGGAGCAGGTGAGCTTGTAGTGAAGGCCCCTCCGAGCTGCACGTGTTCTGGCATCTTGCAGGTCCTTCATCAAGGACATTGTTACTATTATTGCTATTATTACTATTACCACAATTATTCGTATTATTTCTATTATTACTATTACTATTACTATTACTATTACTAGTACTAGTACTACTAGTAGTAGTAGTAGTAGTAGTAGCAGTAGTAGTAGTACTACTACTACTACTACTACTCCTACTACTACGACGACGACGACGACGACGTCTTGCTATTATTGCTGTTCTTACTATGTCAGGATGCTATAGCGGATTAGCTGTGGCTTTTGAGGATGGAATCAGTGTCTGTAGGGTTGCGGCTTTAGCTTGAGTCGGTAAGGTATGGCAAGGTTCAGGGAGTTCAAGTTGTTCACTTTAAGGTCTAGGCTTTGGATGCTTTGTGCGGTGAAGGGTTTAGGGTTGAGGGTTTAGGGTTAACGGTTTAGGGTTAATGGTTTAGGGTTTAGCGTTTAGGGTTCAAGAGCCACTCTCATTCTGTGTGAACAGGTCCGCGCCATGTGCCGGCCTTCATCGGTGCCATCGCAGCAGTCGCAGATGCCATCGTCCCGGCGCGAGGTGTAGATGAGTCTTGGGACGGACCCCACCTTGACTTGACCATGCCCAGAACCCTGGTGTTTGAAGTGCAAATCTGTCCCGCGTAGCCAAAAACACTTGAAAAACACCTTTTGGAGAAGTGCGGCTAAGTCTGCACTGCCCCTAAACCTATAATAGAAGTATTATTCGCAAAATATCTTAGGAATTCACAATAAAAAAGAGTCCTAAGGAGACGAAAGACGTTTGGACAGTAGAAGAATCGGGCAACTCCACTGCAGGCGGACGTCCCAGGCTCGTCGGATCCATCCGCACAGTCACAAAAGTCATCATTTAAAGCATCAGCCGGCAGAATGCCTAAGCCTTGGCTGTTGTTGGAAAACCACTACTAATACAAAAGCTACGTGCCGATACATAAGTAAGTCATATCTAGATACAGTCTTTCCGGTATCCAGATATTTAAAGCGTGCTATTCAACCAGGTCGAAGCAGCCATTGAAGCAGCGGAAAGACCCTTCCTGCAAAGCTTCAAGGTACTTCGGAGCGACCTCCAGGGCTCCCGAAACTGGGTTGCTGCTTAGGAACTTAATTCTTTCTAGTCAGAATATGGATGTATAGTGAATAGTGGGGCTTCCGTATTATAATAGTAATTAAAAAGGTCCTTAACAGTAAGCCAGGACATGCAATGTTTGGGGCTTCAGGTTTAGGGTTCAGGGTCCTAAATCCCAGAGCCTAAGCGAACCTGGAGGTGTGTGAGGGCTTTAGAAGGATGATGCGGATCTTTCACGGACTTTGCTGCACATTTGCGAGCTCTTCTCGAAGTTACGGCCCTTTCGGTGTACTAAATGAAATCCCAATCTGGAACCCCAAACCCCAAACCCTAAACCCCAAACCCCAAACCCTAAACCCTAAATCCCTAAACCCTAATGTTGAGCAACTCCCACTGCTGGGCGATGGCCAAACAACTCCCAGCCGCTGCATCCACGGAGGAAAGCTTGCCAAAAAAGTGAAAAGGAGAGCATACTCGAGCCGAAGGTTCATTGCGTGGGGTTCTATGGCTATGATTACTATTACTACTATCATTACTATTATTACTATTACTACTATTATTACTACTATTACTACTAGTATTATCACCCCTGTTAATATTCTTATTATCCTCAGAAATGGGAGGATTGGGGTGAGTGGGGGATGTAGGAGCTAAGGGCGGATGTTTCATCAAAGGGAGGAGCTTGTCCTCCTGGACTACCAAAAAGCTCCTGCTGGGGTTTAGGGTTTAGGGTTTAGGGTTACAGGGCTCACCCCATTTTGGCACATATGAGCACAGTATGTGAAATCTCTTCTGCACCCCACAGATTTTTCTTTTACAAGCATGACTGAGCAGGGCGTCCCGCTCATATGCCTCAACATAGGATAATCATCTTTATGAGTCCCTCGCCCCATAAAACGGGATCTTCAATTCACAAACCCGCAAATTGAGGACTATAAATCCACAGTCGACTCCTGCGCATCTGGCATCTCGCATTTTTAACCAGTCATGCTCGAAGGTATAAGAAGAGGTGCTCATGGCTCTTCACAACCGAATTCAAAACAGCTCAATATGAATTGGAACTGCGGACCTGCGTTGTTAACACTGAGACCTTGTTGTGGTGCCTGATAAGGACCCAACCCATTACTAGTAACCTTACGGCACACGCACTGGGTAGGAGACCACCTTCAGGGTTTAGGGTTTAGGGTTTAGGTGATGCCCTTCAAACGCGGTCGTACTCGTTACCGTTGCCATGGGACAGCAGCCGAATTGACGGCGATTGCTTGTTCATTAGCAGTTGGAGAACACATGCGCGGTGAAGCTTCATTGAGAAGCCCAACCGGGCTAGCTAGGAAATGCGGGCAGTGCATATGTACCCTTTTCTACACACTTTACACGTATTTCTACCAAAAAGGGATTCTTCTTGCAAAAATGGCCCAAGGTGGCCCAAGTTGAATTAAGACAGGTTCTCCCTTAGAGGGCGAATTTCACCAGGCTTTCGGACACATCTGAATTCAGGCTGGAGCGTTTGGAAGGAAGTACGAAACACATGGAAGGTGAAGCGTTCTGTGCTGACAAGGAGAGCATCTACGTTGACGCAGTCTCCCTTGCCATAAAAGGGCCCCTTGTCCAACATGAACATGACATGGAGCATTCCCCTGTAGCATACGTAGTAGAGATATGAAGCGACCAGCGGCCAAAATTGAAAGCACTGCTTGGTCTCCTCGTACCTTAGTCTCTACTATATTAGGCTTCACAAGACACATCATGCAGTTGCAGAAAGGTATAGAAAACCATACCCTCACAAGGTATAAAGATTCTAATAGCATGGACCCAGCTGCATCTTGGTAGGGTAGCCAACCAGAGCCAGCGATAGCAAGATGTTCGTTACCACCACCATCATGACCCGAACCAGCTGGCTCCTGCAGGGTCAGGAGTGAAGGCGGCCGAAACCCTTGAAGGAGTCGGGAGATGGCTCCAAATTATCTTGACTGATATACTATAACTATTAGTATTGCTATATTTATTGTTAGTACTACACCAATTATTATTACTGCAACTAGTAATTGTAAAAACATAATCAGCATCATGATAAAGGCACTATCATCACCACCGCCGACAACACCAGCAGCAGCACCACCACCGCCACCCCCGCCACCGCCGCCGCCGCCGCCCCACC